CCCAAGCGCCATTGGCACTGCCACCACCACTGAGGAGTGCCACCTCAAACCCTGTGCTGTAGTCAGCCATCCCAGCACCCATCCCAGCACCCCAGCCATCCCAGCACCCCAGCACAAAGCCTCAGCTTCCCTGGCCACAGCCACGCCAGTCCCACTGTGTGAATCCCCAGCCATCCCAGTGCCAAGCTGTAGCCCCAGTCACAGCTGCCACCCTGGAGAAGGCCGGGTGCGATTTGGAGAAGGCTGCATGCAACTTGGAGAAGGCCTCAGAAGGTTTCTGAAGCCTTGCCAGAATGGCATGTGCGGCCTCAGGAAGAAGGCCTTGCACGGCCAGCAGCTGCCTCATGAAGGGCCAGGCTGGGCACAACTCATAAGCAGTGGGAAGAAGAAGACAGCAAAGGTCAGTGGGGGCGGCAGGGGTGGTAGAGTGCAGGGTGGCAGGGGTGGCAGGGCTGGCAAAGTGTAGGGGGCCAAAAGGGCAGACATGGGGGGGAGACAGGCAGGTGGGGGGACTTGAAGCACCCCTGAGGTCATAAGTGTGGGCCAGCTGCCAAGCACCCAAATTTTGATCACATGACCACAGGGACACTACAGTGGCTATAACTTTGGAGTCTGGATGTAAGTACCATTCATTCAGCACCATCGTAACTTTGAATGGTTGCTGAACAAATGGTCGTTAACCGAGGACTACCTGTATGCATTTTTGCTAGACATTTTATTAGTATACGTTTTATTGTTGATGAACTGCATTGAAAAATTTTGAGAATTTCAAATGCTATCTAAATTTTAGTTGGTGCATTGGAAATACAAAATTAAGTAAATTTATATTCAAATGCAAACTGATTTTTTACCATAGACTAACATGGCTTTTCTCCAACAATGAAATTCCAAGAGAAGCCATTTAAAGAACAAGAGTATGTCCAATACTTTTTCAAAAAATGCAGCCAATTTTCTCATCAAAGTAACACTGCAAAACTTAATTGATCTCTGACTCATATGTTCAATTTCCTACTGGATCCTTTTTTTTTTTTATCTTCTTAACTTTCAGTAAACAATCCAGAGGATCCTGAAAGAATCTGTTAGAACACAAACCTTCTTTTAGCCACCCAGAGTGGGCAGCCGTAATACATTTAATATTAATAATAGTAATAATAGTAATAAAATTTCTTAACACTATCTTTGTTTTAAGGCAGGAGGGAAAGTTGAACAACATTGTCCTTTTTTAACCAAAAAAAACATTAAAGCTTTCCAGTCTGAGCAACCATAAATCTTGTATAAACATTACATGAGATGTTAAAGGTTACAGTTTCAACTATGAATGGAATTTAAGTTTACGTGACTTCTGAAGATATTGACAGGGAGCTAAACTAACAGTTCAGAAGTCTAAAAGAAAGGAAGAAAGGATACCACCATAAAGATTAATTCTATTGTTATACTAACAGTAGAACCCTGAAGTCAAACAGGGTACTTTAAAGTCAATGTTCTTCTTGTGAACCTGCAGATTCTCTCATCATAATCTAGGGTCAGCTTCCTGGTTATGCCTGATACGACTATATAACTATATATGTCTTTGTCAAGTGTAGAACCAGCTTCAGGGGCATGCTGTGGTGGGCAAATCCAGAAAAGTAAACCCACCCAACAGGCTACTATCTCCATTTTGCACGGCACACCCAAAAAAGATTATGAGCAGCTACAAATTTCTCAGTTTGTGTATCTTACATGTTCCATTGGGGGGAACTTAGGATACCATTTGCAATACCTCTGCAGCTGCCAGACTCTGTCGCTGTCCATAGGACTCCATAGTGTATGTCCTGATATACAATAGGCAGGCAGGCTGACAGAATCACAGTTGGAAGCAGGAGCAGTTGCAGGAGTGCAGGGGTGGGGGGGCTCAAAATAGGCAAGATTATTGTTGGGGCATCTTGACTGAACTCCTATTCCTTTTCTATGTGCCTGTTGACAGACATATAAAAAGGGCACGCCTCCAATTATGATGCTGTTTTAACACACCTACACACACCGTATGGATGTGGCCGGTTGGGAAGGGCCAACTATCAAGTTCAGCCCTCAGTGTAGGGATACAAGTTAAAGCAACTCCAACAAATGTGTAACAAGCTTCTGCTCGAAGAAATCAAGAAAATCTAGGTGACTAGATGAAACATTTCCACTAGGAAATGATGAGTGTGTTTGTGTTTGTTTAGATGTAGCAAATTTTTATTTGGATGGCTTTGTACAAACTGCTTCTTTAAAATTGGATTAAAGCTCCTTGTTAGATCAAACACTTTCACTTCTTTGATTTTTTTTTTCTCTTCATTTTCTTTCATTCCCTACAGTTCTCTGAATCTACTCTGGAGGACTTCACTGAATTTTTCTTTTCCTTTCCTCCATCAAACTGAGGGAAAACTGATAAAAATAAATGCAGAAAATACCCCACTGCACTCTAGCCAGTGCAGCATGTCATTCTTATGAGCCAGAATTGCCTGCCCCTTTCTACTAAGTACTGACTTGGTCAGAAGCTTGGGAGTTCAAAACAAATCTACACATGAATGTAGGTAGTCAACAACTATTCACGTCATATGAACATTTCATAATAAAGTCCAAAATGACATGAGTTGGAAAACTCTCAAAGGTTAATAAGAAAGCAAAAACCCATGTAAGAAGAGAAAGATTACATTTACAACTTAATTGCAAGAAATATTTACACATACAGTTTTTTTTATCTCTCTCCATATATGTGTACGCGCGCGCACACACACATACTGAATGGTTAACAATGCTGGAGTGAACTATGGACTGAAAGTCCATTTTAAAACTGTTATCATCAGAAAAGGAAAGATCTGTAATCAGCTTTTCACCTCTTTGCTGGAAATGTTCTGATAAACTGGCAAGATGTGTTCATTCATACCTGTCCAGAGACCACACTGACATCATCAAAACCCAAATTTCCATTAACTTCTGCTACAGCTGGGTTTGCATAGCACATTGTTCCATTAACTGGTTTGAAAGATTCTGCAGGAGGAGGAGGAGCGGAACGACTTTGGGGAAGTTTCAGTTCTTCAGGTTCAAAGTGTCTCTGACCCATCTAAAGAGAACCAGATGAAACAATCCAGGAAGGAATCAATGGATTTCATGAAAAGATAACTTGTCCAAATGCATTTTGTTCCAATACATGTGAAAATAATTAGTTGCCATACTATAAGTATAAATATACAATAAATATATCTCTATGTGAGAAATTTGGCCATCTTATCCAGAAGTGCACACCCTAGGTCTGACGAACACATAGGACTCCTGAAAGCCTTATGTGCAGCCTCAGGGCCCTCCAAAAGTTATCACAAAACTGTTATTTTTAACAGGACAGAAAGGAAAATTGTTTAATACCTTGCTGAGAATCACATGAATTGTATTTAATTTATGTGATTAAGTGTTAATTGAAATATAATAGTAAATTAAAACAAATTTAGCTTTTGTCCTGGCCCATTTACTTTTTGGAATAGATTCATATGTGGCTAATGTATAACATTAATGTAGTAGATCAGAGATGTAATTGTCTTTTCAACCTACATGTGAGTGGCATTTAAATGCTCTCTCCCAATCTCATTCTGGCTGGACAGAAAGGACTGATTTCCACTCAGCCTCTGCCTCCATGCAATGAGCTGGACTGGGTGAGATCTGTTGTCTGATGTGGTCTTTAATTAAAACACAGACTCAGTTTTTTATCTCTACTTAAATAAATAAATTAAGTTCAGTTAAATAAATACTGTATAATAATCTTTAGCAGTAAAAAACAGCAAACATCTGCATATCCTTTTAATTCAATCCTGCTACCCAACTCACTTGACTATAGGTCTTCAATAACATTTTAAGAACTCTTTCCACAAAGAATAAGATGTAGAATCCACCAAAAACTGCAACTGCTTTTTCAACGTAGTTATCTACTTTAGGATCAAATCCAAATGCCTAGAACAAAAATATTAACAATAACTGAGTGTTCACTGATATTTCTGTACTCCTTTAAGAAAGCATTTTTTCATTATTCACCTTTTCATTAAACTCATTCAGTAAATTTAGCCCAAATTTACCTTGTATTGTAACTCACCTAAACTCAACTATCTATGTCAGCATTTGATAGGCCTGTCCCATAAAGAGAGTTGCCTGTTTTCTATATTTAAATGATATCTACTCTAAACTGGCTGGTTTCGAATCAATCTTGCCAAATAATTAATCCACAAAATGGACATGTGGGTCAGAAGGCATATTAAGGATGGTGATTCATGTGGAAATATACTGCACCAGGATGACACTTATCATATTTCACCTCCTCAATGGACTCTATTCACACAACATGTGAATAGCCACTGCCCCAGTCAATTTTCCTTACCAGTGGTTCTGGCAATACACATCCCCTCCCTCCAGGAAGTACCTGAACAATGCTGGCAAAGCTTCATGACATCACCAACCCTTTTTCCATTGGCCTGGCAGGCAGCAATAGGCATGGCTTGGTGATTGCAATTAATCAATGTTTTCAAACTGTGTTCTATTTGCCAGGCTTTGGGAGTGAGTTCCGTAATGGCAACATGTTGCTTTTCAACTGTTCATTTTCTGCAATTCTTTTCCTTGGAGAACTCAGAAAGAAAATAAGGCAATGCACGGGATTTAGTGTTCCAATGGTGGAGCTGATTGGGTGGAATTAATTTAATGCTATGCAAGGCTGGGCCTCTTTTCGGCTAAATCTTGGGTTAATTGGCCAGTTCAATGACTCCCCTTTTTAAAATTCATGCTGCATTAATCTTTCCACCCATTGACCCAGTTAAGCATATCATGCAAACAGGGCCTAAATGTAATCCAGTTCACACATGAAAGTAAATTGTGTGTCTAATTTTAGCCCGGGGAAAAAATACATCCATTGTTTGAGATCTTACCAACTTGCCTTATATCAAGTTAGAGCACTGTTTCATATAATTCAGTGTAGCTAATACTCATTGTCAGCAGCTCTGGTGGACTTGAGATAAGTCTTCACTCCTGCCTCTATTCAGAAATGCAGGGGATTAAACTTGGAATTGCGTACAACTCATGTGCTCTATCAGTGGGCCATAGCCCTACCAATTTCACTTCTGTTACTTTCATGCATGTGAGGGGTACGAACTGCCGTGTCTATACCACACTGCCAATGGACAGAACTGCTTCATGATATTAGCTTGTTCTCCCTTCTACTTCCTGTCAGAATGGTAATTTATCTTTCTTAGACAGGGAATATTGGTCTAAATCTGACCTATCCACTTGAAGGAGCTTACGGTTGGAGGAAATGTGGAAGAAAGGGAATTACTACAAGACCGTAATACTGAAAGACATCCTTCTGGGTGTTTTCCATTGGGGAAAGCATATTACATTGTCATATTCCCACTGTCATCATTCTTTCCTTTTTGTCTGCCCCTTTCTTACCTCTGGAATAAGCTGAAAAATTGCATTAGAGAAGAGTGTTCCAATAGCCAAACCTACAAAGTAGGTTAAAATCTTAGGGAAATAGTCCTTCTTTAAAAGAGGAGTTAAAACCAATCCAAGAAGTGAAGCAAGGCTGATTATTGTCACAGCAAGGAACCCAAAGCCCCAAACTGTGGAAAGAAAAAGTCACACAGTAAAATATATATTAGTTTTATTAAAACAACCAAGTGCTTCTTGCTGATTCATTTGATAGGAAACTCATCTGGCAGGAAAAAGTTTACATGTCTAGTTGACGAACAGCTGAGGACATAACATTCAAGATATAGTTACATCAAAGGGTTCTTTGAGACTATTTGACAAGAAACAACATATTATAAATTATAGGAAAGACATAATAAAATAGGTTAAACTGCACACGGCAACACATTGAAAGTACTAAAGCAAGCTTGTCCCAAGCTATCAATCTCCAGATGCATTGAATTTCAATGGCCGTTTTCACCTCAAAAGAGAATTCTGGGAAATGTTGTCTAACACATATAGGGAAAGCTGTATACAGGATTTTTCACATTTGTGATCACTGTTTCCATGCTTAAACCATAGAACAGCACAATAGACTTCAAAATATTTTTTCCTTCCCCTTGACATTTCCCATTGTGCTACCTTTCTCATCAGCTAAAGATAGTTAAGAATAACTAAAAGCAATATGGCAGAAGAGTTGTGACTTGACTAAAATGCACACAGATGCAATAGCACGTTCTTAAAATTCTTTTTAATTGTTTCAACATTACCTTTTCTGTTAATCTTTTTTTTTTTTTAAAAGAGAGAAAACAAACAAGCAAAAAAAATTAGGAAAGAAAAAAATGATGCAAAGATACATTAGAAAAGGTACAGAAGTTGTACTATTAGTGCACAGTATATTATTGATGAAAAATTAACCATAGAAACAGAATGTGTTAAGTTGTTTTTAAGAATAAGGAAAAGGGTTTTGGAGATCTTTTTGAATCTCTGAGCTGAGTGCCAAGTTTCCACTATTTTGTTATTTAAATATACTATTTAAAACAAGAGAGAGAAGTACCCCTAAAAACATATAAGTTAATATTTAGTTTCTAACTTGCCCTTTGTTGTACTCTGACTTATATACAATATTAATAAACATTTTAAATGTTCATGTATTTCTGATTTCAGTTCTTTGGTCAACTCTTTTTCCCATTAAAAACCATGCTCTACATACTTAAATTTCCCTTGCCTTTTGCCTTAATCAAAAGCAAGTTTGATTAAAATCCCAGAAGATGAAGATCGAACTAGACAAGACCTTGTCACATACAGTAGTTTACATTGGAATGGATTTGTGTTTACCCAATGGCCACCTCAAGATATTCTGATGTTTTTGGCAAAGGGCAAAATGGCATCCTATATCTTTCCAACTCTGTATTTTCTACCTGAAGCAATTTCCTTAGCTTGCATTATTATATTTCAATTTCACAAATCATACATTGCAGCTGATGTTGGCCGGGGGTATTGCACCTACTGTCCCAATAACAATTGGTACCACAATTGATGCCTTCTTCCAAATTTTGGCAATCTCTATTTACAAATCTTTGTCATCTTCTCCACTTCCTTGTCTTCAACATTACGGTGTCTTGGGATGGCTACATCAATAAACCATACATTGTTCTTTTCAATAACAATAGTGTCTGGTGTGCTATGTTTCAGGGCTACCCTGAACTGGTCTGAATTTTAAAATTCCATTACATTTTCAGTTACATTACGTTTTCAGTTACTTTATCTGTGATTTGATGTTTCCAGTAATGCTTATTGACTGTGAATCCATTTTTTTTTTTTAAATTCCAGAGTAATACCTTCCCAACTCAATCATAACTTTTTCGTAATCAGTCTGGGTGATTTTGCTACATCCAGTTAGTATATAGTCAGCTGTTTCATCCTTTCCTTGGCACCAATGGCATTTACTATCCAGACTATTCTTTTCTAATTTTGCCTTGATAACTTTTGTGCATAATGCTTGTTCTTAGGCTAAAAAAGCATTGCTTCTGTTTCCTTTTTTAATGTAACATTCTTAATGGTGTTGTCCAATTTTCCTTCAGTACCTTTCAAAAAATGCCCATTGAGTGCTTTGGCTTTTTCAAATCTCATATTTGAGCTGTTGCTTTTTATAGTCAAGTTTAGATTCCATTTCTGCAAATCACCCTTATTTCTGAGATTCTTTAAATAACATTTCTTTACTTGTCTTGATGTAAAGCCCTCATTCTTCCTCCTCTATGGTTTGGTTTACCTGTAAAAGTCCTTGCTTGCCAGTCTTCCTTGGAAGAGATATAATCTACTGACATCACTACAGAGGTGGAAGGCATTATTCAGAGTTATCAATTTTATCATTTCCTGGTCAAGGCTATCAAGGTCCTTCTGAGTCCAATCCACTATTCTTGCACTGTACCAACTTTTATGCAGTTAATGACACTCAAGTCTAAAATCTTTTGCAACAATGTCTCTCTAATAATACCTGCTGGGGAAATATAAGACATAGTCTCACATGATTAGGATCACAGACAAATTATATATGAGAACTAATGGGGTACAACATTTTATTATTATCATAATATATTTAATTATGATCATTGTCTGATTTTATATAAGATACGTATCATGCAATAGCAGGCAACAGAGAAGGCTGATGGCCAACATCATGCCACTGAAGGTGTAGAAACATTGATAGTTTTTATAGAAATACATAAATAACTAGAAAAAAATTAATCTATTAACTAGACTAGTATTCTTGAGAATTACCTTCTGTGGGAGATGGCTTAGAACCAGCTCTGGGTACAGATTTTTCACAGGGGTGAAAAATCACTTGTTGTAAGATAGCAGGACATATTGTAGAGAAGGTGGACTCCATTATCCTGCTCCTGTTTGACATTCCATACAGAGAAAAAATATCTTCAGCAGACATGCACTAAAAGAGAATGAAAAACTTGTGTTAGTTTGAGAAAGAAAATGAACACACTTACAGCAGAGAGATGTAAAACATTTTAGATTTGACTGTCATTAACTGCATAAAAGATTAACTTTGGAATGGCATCTGGGGGAAATTCTCATTACTAGAAGTATCCTCTTGAAAGGATACAGGAACCTTGTCCAGGTCAATTTTAGATAATTGTAGCTTTTAAAGTGAATCTTAACATTAAATATTTGCAAGGCAAACTTTCTTTGACTTAATTCACCCTACCATTCTCTCTCAACATGCTGCAGATATGGAAAATCAAGATATCAGAATACAAGACACAAGGGCACAGTCCTTAGATTCTTAGTGCAGCCTCCTTAGTTCCATTTATTATTTTTTGTTCATTAATTCATTCTAGCTGCACACTGCTAAATCTGGAATCACTCATTTTGACCTCTCTACTCCTACGGAGAAGACTGTGGCCCAGTTTGAAAGTTGCAGCTTGCCATGATCAGATGACAACTCCTATGAAGTCATGTGAAGTCATGTTGCAGGCTGAGGCTGCTGCAGTTTGGATTCCAAACAAGGAATAGATGACAGAAATCAGTGAATTCAATTAGCAAAGCTTGATTAATTAATCTCATATACTTACACAGGGGAGTCCCTTTCCTGATCTGCCATGGTGGCTGCAAGTGGCAAGGGGAAAATGAACACACTTACAGCAGAGAGTTGTAAAACATTTTAGACTTGACTGTCATTAACTGCATAAAAGATTATCTTTGGAATGGCATCACCAATCCACTCGCAATGGGCTGCCATTGTTGGCCAAGTTCTAGAGCTCTTCAATCCCTCCCTCTTCCCCCACTGGGATTTCTTAGATTGGTTTTGGGAAAATAATTCAGGAAATAGCTGCATAGTTTCAGCAAAGGAAGGTTATATATTAGCGAGGATTACCTACATTGTTAAGTGTAAGGCAAAGGGGGGAAATAATTATCCAATTGGGATCAGAGCAGGAAGCTCCTTATCACTAGGTTTATGCAAAGCAAAGAGGGCATCTGTGGTTTTGTGGAGAAAACAAGGAAGACTAGCTTGATTAAGCAAGCTTTTGTGACCTAGTTGAAAGTGCAGTTCATTCACAGTTCAGGCCATGTCTCTCTTTTCTCTTTATTTCTATACCCAGGAGACGGTTTTGCATAATTGACATAGCAGATCAGCACATGAACCTGTTCTGAAACTAATGTCTTTCATTCTCACAACACTTTCAAAAGGGCATGAATAAGAAAGAGGTATAACCAAGTGACATATAGATGCACATTGAAGTGTTTGCTGGAACTGGGAGCAAACAGCTGTAATTGAAATCCTGCGTCTTTCTGTTCCTGATATCTCATGAACATGTTATATTTCTGGAGACAAGATATCATTAAAACGTGCTTGAATTATGTTACGCTTCCTGCCTTACTGTTTATACAGATTCACCCAGATTTTGTTAATATTACAGATGGTTTTATTCTGAAGCTTTATAAAATAAGCCAGTACTCCTCCCTGCAAAACCTGAAGTGCTACATATTTATTATTATGAAATCCTGTAATCATTTAATTATAATTTTAAAGCATTCCAGCAATGGTTACTTAATCTCTGAAACAGAACATGTGGCTAAATTAACTTGTTTCATTAGAGAAAAGACAATATCTACATTTATTGGTGACTGGAAACCCCTTATGGTCTTTTTATGTAATTTAATTTTATTCATTAAAAGTTTTATAACTTATCTTTTTTGTAAAATATCAAAGTGACTTACAATAATGTAATTTAAAACCATATTATGTATAATTTAATTACAATAAAAGTGTTATTATATAATTAAGTACAGCAGGACATTAGAATAGCAGCCAGTGGAAGCATACTGAGTAAAATGTAATGGTGTCCAGCTGCCAATGAAACAGATATTTATTGACAAAATAAAGTTTCCCCTCTCTGCACTTTCCTGTAGTGAACTGCACTTTCCCCAAAACAATTCCAAAACATATCAGATCCAAAACATATTAGAAGGGATTCAGGAAGTACAGGAGGAGAAGTGGAAGTTTTATTGCACACTTAGAAGACATAAGAGTCAACACAGAATTTATATTTATTGATCAATAAATTTAATTCATTATAGACCACAAAATGTCTAAAGCAGCAGAGAGGAAGGAGAGGAAGAGTGAGATGCATCTCTCTAATGGGGATCTTGCAGAGTTTTTGGTTCAACATTCTTTGAGTCAATTTCAGATGCAGAAATTTCAGTTTCTTTGAAAAAAAATCTGTTCCCATGTCAAATAAAACTGGTTTATATTCTATTAAACAGTGGTATATAAATAACACAAAAATAACAAGAATAATGGCATCTTTAGCTTCTTCAAATAAATGGGGGTATAAATAAGTTATTTTCATAAATCCTCTGGCCTACAGAATATCTCTGTTGAAACATGTTCCTATTTACATATTCACCAACTACCTTTGTAATTTGCTATGTTACATTTAAAAAAGATACTAACAAAGCAGCTATTGCCATATCCTTGGGCACAATAAATCTTTTCCTTAAATCCCTATCCAATGTAGGGACAGATCACATAACATAGATTTATGATTTTATGGTATTTGCCAGGGTTTGTATTATGAGCATGAAGCAATAAACTCCTGCCCCTTTTACTGCTTCATTGTTTGCATCGTTGGGATAAGTATTCTAACTGTTTTCTTTTGTTATGAGCTGCACGGATATTTATAATGAAGGGAAACACTAAAGATAACAACACGAATAAATAGCATTTATAGCATAACTATAGAACCCCAGGTAGCAAGTAGTACATATTCATTTCGGATGGTCTAATGCAGTGTTTCTCAATCTTGGCCACTTGAAGATGGGTGGACTTCAAGTCCCAGAAGTCCCCAGCCAGCCATGCTGACTGGGGAATTCTGGGAGTTGATATCCACCCATCTTCAAGTGGCCAAGGTTGAGAAACATGGCCTAATGCCTTTTTAAAAAGAGCCTCTAGAAGTACAACATGGAAAAAAACTAGACTAACATTTTATTCTTTGCAATACAGTTCATCTTACCACATACAGTTCACCTATACTTCATACTACCATCTTTGTTTTGCACAGGCCAAGCCTAAATCTGTTTCACAGACAGACAGACCAAAAAGTTCAAGTAGCTTCCTGCCCCATATGGCAAAAACTAGCTTGCATTAAAAGTGGTGTCGTTGCTGCTGTTGTTCATCTTCTGGATGTTCCTCCTCAACCAATGAGAGTTTGGGTGGATTATTACTACACCTGGTGTTTACTTCCAAAATGAATGTTTGCCTCAATTATGTCTACCCAGAACCATTTCATAATAGATCTTCTTTAACTTTTCTAATCTCCATACTTTTCTTGTATGTTAACACTTTTTTTATTTTTTTTTAGGTTATGCCTTGTGTGAAACACACAAGAATAGTGTTAGCAGCTGGAGAGCCACAGCATGGTCTGATATGTAAACAACAGCTAGACATGTAAATCTACTTTCCTCCAGATCTTTTGGGACTGCAACTCCCATCATCCATATTACACACCAAAGGGGGAGAACAGAATTTGGTGAGGGAAATATTAGTTATAGTCTGTTGTTTTCTTTGGCAGGTGAATGTAATGATTTATAGAAAATTTTATATTATGATTATCGTAATCACCCTTAACCTTTTGGCAAAAGCTAAAACCAACCCAACACACAGTACTGATTTCATGTAATCCATGTAATGCCTCTAGAAGAGCACAAACTGCCAAAGCTCCATGTACTGAAGTCCAAGAACTATGTCCATGGCTCTTCAAATTGTGGCAAACACCAAGAAAATAAATGTGATTCACCTTCAGTATGATAAGCTGATATAATTATAATGAGCCCATGAAACTGCTTTATTCTGAATGAGACCTTTGATTTATTTCATCTGGCATGTAGATTCAGACCTTCTAAGTCTATGAAATTTTTCCACCACATACTTCCTGAATCATTTAGATGAGACCCTGGGATTTGAGATCTTCTGTGTATGTGTAAAGCATGTCCCGTGGCTCTAACCCATAGTTCTATCCTCATATTTATAACATACCATAATAATGCTCACTCTATAATCAGCTACAATTTGTGTGTGATTTTTTTTCACATCTTATTGATTGAAGAAAGGGGATGTCACCATTGCCCATAATTGGATGGTCTCTCCAAGGATACATGTGGCTGTTTCCAAGAACAGTGGTTCTAAACTTTGCTTTTATTCTGAAAATAACTTGCTTCATTTAAAAAGCTATAGGTAGCTCTTGACTATAGGTAGTCAGGAGGATAATATCTACAAGTATACTTTTTTCTCCCACTGCTTATTCAATATTTTCACAAAATTCAGGAACAGAAGGACAGAATAGCTATACAATGTATTCTAACTGGGGGCTGTCTGTTTTGAAGCATGCTCAATTATTGTATATACCATATTTAGCACTGAAGATGTATATTTGTTTTCCTGAACCTAATACCCTCCAGAGATGTTAGACTTCAGTTTCCATGATTTCTATCACTGGCTATGATGGCTGAAAATTCTAGGAGTTTCAGTCCAAAGATATTCAGACATAATTCCTGCCCAAAACCCGTGCAGCCAGGTTTCTTTAACCCAGAGAGTTAGTAGTTAAACCCAGAGAATTTGTTAAATTGTCAATAGTCAGACAATTTAAGCTGGGCCAAAAAGAATAGAAATCAGCCTGAAAGTAAACATGTTACACATAATTTATTGTGCAGTTTATTTGAATTGAATATACTAAATATTGTATGACATAAGCCTTCTCACGAGCTTGAGACATCCTCCAGTATTGGAGTTGGCCTTTTTTGACTCAAAGTATCTTTGAATGATTTGGCTGTCTATGAGTTAAGGTTCTGTGGGGACAGACATCCTGGGGGGAAAAGTCCAGAGTATATAATGAGATTGGCTATTCTATCATTAGGACTTTAATATGGGTTGTTAACTGCTTACAGTCCAGTGTTCCCCAACAACACATGCTTGCTATGGTTGCTACTAAGCTTTCCATCATCAAAAGTTTCCAGAAATGCCTCCCTTCCACCATATCTGTAGCCTTTGACATTTTCAGCATTGACTAAAATGCCCGGATTCTTAAAAAGAAAAAATAAATGAATTCCTAAGGAAAGCAAATAGAGTCTTCTGGCCATAATTCCCTCTTCCATAAACTTGGAAGAGAAACTGGGAAGGTGGAGTTTGGCCAGATTCCTGGCGCTAGGGATGCAGGGCAAAGGACAGGTCCTCTCTGTACCTGGTTATAGTGCAGGTGCGCCAGCGATTCCGGGGGCAAGGACTCGCTCAGCTTCTGCCGCGCTCCCAGTTTCTGCAGCATCTGGCCGACTTGCCCGGTCGAGAGGCTCCGGTTGCCTCCGAAGACGGCGAAGAGATCCCGAGCGAAGGGCGCTCCGATCGACGACGACGACGACGACGATGCTGCTGCTGCTGCTGCAAGATCTTCCTGGGCACGGGTGGGGACGAAGGCACCAAGCGCCAGAGCGAAGGCGGCGGCCAGGAGCTTCCGAGCCACGAGGGGAGACATCGCCGGCAAGCGCGCTGAGGCGAGCGAGAAGGAAAGACGAGGAGTTCACGTACCAGCCGAAGACGCGCCGTGCCTTTGGCGCCGACCGCAAGCGGGAGTGAGCCTTCCTCGGGCGCTCAGACTTCGGCGCTGCTGCAAGCGGAGGCCCTTTTCTTCCCTCCCTCTTGGGCAGGGACAAGGGCCCTTCCCCGGACGTTTTCCAAATCCCACGCCGGAAGGGTGTAGGTAGGAGAAGCTGGCTCGGGCAGAGAGCCGAAAGAAGACCTCTTCAGTCCCCACGATGCCAGGCGCACGCAGCTCTTCCTGTAACGGGAGGAGGAAAAGACCAAGGACAGAGAAGGAGTTAGGAGCTGTCTTAACTCCAATATGCTGCCCTTAAAGGGCACACTGAACTACAGCTCCCATCATCCCCAACCAGGAGGGGAATAGTGTCCGGAGGCTATGAAGGATTGTTCTAATTTTTTTTTTTTTTTTGGCCTTGGAGTCATTACTGACTCCTGGTGATTGCCTGGACAAGTCCCTGCAGTTTTCTTGGCAAAGTTTTTCAGAAGTGGTTTGCCATTGCCTCCTTCCTAGGGCTGAGAGAGAGTGACTGGCCCAAGGTCACCCAGCTGGCTTTGTGCCTAAGGTGGGATTAGAACTCACAGTCTCCCAGTTTCTAGCCTGATGCCCTAACCACTACACCAACCTGGCTCTTATTGTTCTAACTAGCTGGCAATTAACTGATTAATGTAATAAATAATTCTCAGACTTGCTCACTGATTTTATTCATGATGAATGCTGCTGCTTCAGTTAACTTGGTTAGTTTTAAAATGTATGACTGGATTCACTTTAGTTTGTTTTTTTAAATTTGAATTCTGGATATCTCAATTATAATGGAAGATACTTTTATAATTATACAAAAGAAATGTTTAAAAGTAATAAATGAAAGCAAGGAGCATCTTCCAGAGGCAGGATAAGTTCAAAAGGCAGCTGTTTCTTTCGGGACTGGAGTTTCCTAGTACTTAAGAAAAACATTACCAAAACACCTCCCAAACAATATCAGTGCAAGATTTGATAAGAGTAAGCAAATTCTCCAGAATTCTTTTGCAATACAGAGTACAGTCAAGAAAAGCAATAAATAGGGGCAGAGAAAAAAGAGCTTTCCATCCAGCCTATTCCCCCTCCCTAATACATGTATCCTGAAAAAGAATTTTAATGAACGCACTGCCAGTAATATAGGAAAATGTCGTTTCCGAAATCAGCCCATTATTCCATTTACACTCTATTGACTCGCAGACCTACTCTTTCTTAACTCTACCAGTTAAGAAAGGGATCTGGCATATAAAGAATCAGACTATTATTGAGCTATTGTCTTTCCTGTTGAGCTGCACTAAGTTCACCTTCAATCTGATAACAACTTCTGGTTTTGTATGGAGAGGGAATGTTTCTCTAGTTATCTGCAGCTTGGATTTTCTTGCTCTTTAAACCAAAGTTGGCCCAGCTAAATAAACTCTGTTTGGTTCACATATCACAATAATCCATGGTTTCATTTATCTGTTGTTTGTAGAAGTCAGAATGACCTGGTTCGCTATAATGCTAAATCAAGGGCAAGCAACATGCAGCCACAGGTCATTAGGATCTGGTAGGAACCACAATGACATCATGTGCGTCACAACAACATTGTGCAAATAATGGTTATAATTGCATAATTTGTGCAAAAACAAAAACATGACTGGTCCCCCTTGCTCCCCTCTTCTCTGTAGATATCCATGCCCAAGTCCCTTGTTGTGGCCACAGTGTCTTCTCTGACCACAATGGCTGAAAAGCAGCTGTGTGATTTTCCCCATTATATGGCAGGAAATACTCAAAACTGTAATGCAAGGGCTACAGTAGGTTTAACATGGTTTAAAATCAAATGTCAAAATTCTTCCCCACAACCCAGTAAACCTTGAAAATCTTGGGTTCATCCACTTTGCATTATCGTTCCAGTCCCAAATTTTACCTGTATTATGGTTTTCTATGCCATGTCCAAAGATGGATGGGTTAAGATATTGTGGTAAGCTAAAACTAAATGAACCTTATTATGACTTAGCACAATGTATGTATTTATATTGACTGAATCATTAACACGTTGAAACACTGATCTTATTGCACAGGATTTTCCGCTCCCCAATCTTTATTTGGATTGTTTAAGAGAAGCTGCAGTTGAGTATAGTTGGATCAGTCTTACTTTCTCTTTCAAGTACATCCCAGCTTTAGGTTGTATGGGAAGAGTGTTAGATATGCAGCTCGTACAGAAGAGCAGAACAAGTCCCATCTTTTTTCCATTGTTGATGCTTCCAGGAAGATCAGAAACAAGCATATCAGTAACAACCTTCTCCTATTCTCTTTTATCATCTGGTATTCAGATACACACATCCCTTGAACTCAGAGCTTCTCAGAGCTATTGTGCCTAGAAACTCCTGATCAAGCTAACTTCTTTTCATTTTTTAAATGCTTTTAAAGTATGTCAGCTAGTAGCACTTACTGCAGCTTTTCCTGTTTCGCACATTTAAAATTTATGGACAGATAATTCATACAGTGTTTCTTTGAAGGTTATATGGATTGTTAGTTTTTTATATTTATTTGTTTATCTATTATTGAGATTTATATACCACTCAGTTCCCAAAAGAGTCTTACAAATATATCTGCCCTGCAAAAGAAATAATTAAAAGAAAAAGAGAGAAAGAAAGAAAGAAAATCACCCCATAACAATGGTTCTTAGCTACGACAGTCCCAAGGAAGTAGTTTTAGCAGCAATAGTCACTTACTGCTCCAGGCCTTCTGGAACAACCAGATCCTGGTTGTTTTCCTGAATGCTCACACCGCTGGTGCTAGCCTGACCTCAGGTGGAGCACTGTTCCAAGGGAGAGGGACAGTTACAGAAGAGGCACACCCTCATGGTCTCCAATGACAGCAAAGGATGGGACTTGAAGGGTACTCATCCCACTTGTTGGATGGGCAGAAAACACTGGGAGAAGATAGTCCCACAGGTATCATGACTCAGATTTCAAACAGCTGGAAGCCAAATGGGAATCAGTGCAGCTCTCGCAGTAGTGGTATCACATGGGTAAACCAGCAGGCACCCATAATTATTTCAGCCACTGATTCTGGATGAGGTGTAGCTTTTGGGTGGTCTTCTAGGGCAGTCCTATGCAAAGCAAGTTACAATAGGAAAGGTGACCACAGCATGAGATACTGCAAACAGTAACTCCTGGTTTAGCAGTGGTCATGGCTAGTGCACAAGATGAAGTTGTGCAAAGGCCCACGTAGTCACAGATGCAGCCTACTCCTCAAGCAGAAGGTGTGAGTCCAAGGACACCCATAACTTATGAACCATTTCAGTCCAGGAAACATGACCCAATCCATAAAAATGGAATATCACAGGTCTTGGATTCTGAACTCCCATCCCCTCTCTCTTCTCTGTATTCTAATGCACATAATAGATCTGAGAAATGTCTGCTTCTCCATTTTGTCCTTGTGTCATTTCATCCTCCATAGGATTTCAACATATATGCCATATAAACTATTGTCATTATAAGAAGTTTGTTTGTGGGTGGGGTGGGGGGTGTCAGCCAGAATCTCGATTTCAAATTTATGAAGGAGAAACATTTCTATCTCCTGTCTCCTGATCCATGATTATATAAAACTTCCTTCCTCATCTTCCTGTACCTGAATTACTTCATATTCTATATTTTAAAAGCCCAGAGTAATTTAATCTTTTTTACCCATAGAAAAAATACTGCAGTCCCTTGATAATTTTAATGATTGCTCTGTGCACCATGTTCAGTTCTAAAATACCCTTTCTGTCAGGGAATAACTAAAAGTTTTCATAAATGTCAGATTTAAAGAAATCCATTGTTTTATTTTTGTCCTTGCTCATTTTCTTCCTTGTTTGAAATACATACTGTATATTACTAACAGGGTTATATGCCAGCTTAGCCATTACATTGTCAGTCCCCTTATTAATAACGGTCACCCTTATTCTTATCATATTGTTTTTTAATAACATTTTCATTTTTATTTTCAATTTTTATCTGTTTTACCTGTCTGATTTTATGATGTGAACTGCCAGGAGTCACTTGGAATTGTTGCATTTTAAAAATACAACAAATGAATTAAAAACACAGTAATCCTTAGGATGAAGATTTCATTTGTTCTGTTACCACCAGACTCTTTTCCAGTCTGCATCTCTCAAAGGCAAACAGTGTCAAAGTAGCAACCCCATCCAGGAATCCCTTCAGGTTGATGTTGTTGTTTTTAAGGAAAAAGAACTAGACACGTTTTAATTATTATTGTTACTGCTAGCAAAAGCAATACATGGGTAAGCATTAACTTTATTTCAAAAAAATGCAAAATGGGCTGCTGGGGGAATGGGGCACAGCTTGGGCTTTGCAGTTTCAGATGGTAAACAATAGTTTGCTGGAATCTGGCTCTTGCTTCGAAATGTCAACATCTGAACATGCAAATATGAAAGAATCTGCCAAGAAAGCAGTGGGATCATGGGGGAATTGCTTTTATCAACTTCCTGAGTAAATTATATATATTATTAGAGCATGAGTTTATGGGGTTATTTTTAACTTCCAGGTATGCTCCCAGGCATAGCAGATCTTTAAAAAGTGCACAACGCGTCTCTACACAGCTTGTTTAAATGTTTTATTTGTCCACATGAGAGATACTGGCAATAACTACACACATAACACAATCCACACACTGAATGTCAGCATTCAAAAACTCTCCTACAGTGTTTTGCTCCTTCACTCAAAAGGTTTTTGTTTTGTTTTTTGAAGCTCTGTTTAACCCAATAAACATTAAGTGTTCCTTAGCAACAGACAATCAAAAATGCTGTTTCTTAAGACAATCTCACTAGGACTGTCTTTTTTCATGGCACAGTTTTTGGCCATCAAGCATTGTAGGAGGACAGCCATATTAATCAATGGTACCTAAAAATCAGAAGGCACCTGGAAGCACCTTTTCAGATGAATGTATTATAAAAATGCATAAGCTTTCAACAGCCACAGCTCACTTCATCAGATGATCCTACATCAGTTTAGCCACTCCATGCATCTTTCTGATTTTTGGCCATCACGCACAAGTTCAGTGAACTTTGAATGGCCTGAGGGTGGGGAGAGGTAGTGGTACATCTTACACTTATTTTAATGAACAGCTACAGTAATTTTGGAAATGCATGCACAGTCCTCTATCTCAAGGCATTCAACCATCTCCGAGGAGAAGAAAGTAAACAGGAGCTTGCCAGGGGCAGAATATCTTTACAATGGGAAGACAGTAAGAATGCTTTCTCTGTTTCTGTCACACAGTAATTACATTCAGCTCTCTGCATTCATTCACAAACATCTGTGTTGTCTAATCTTTCCACCACTTTCATAATTCTTTCTACTTCTATTTCCCATTATAATGAGCAGGAAAAAAACACACTCACTTCCTTACTCACCTAGTCCTGTCTCTGATTACTCCAGCAGCCCTTCAGAATTAA